CACCTAAGTGCCTTTCTGCCTCACTCAGTCTACCCACCTGTGCGTTGAGGTCACCTGCAACAACCACTACGTCCGAACGTTTGGCTTTCGAGAGGAGGTTAGACAGTTTATGGTAGAACTCGTCCTTCACTTCATCCGAACTACAGTCAGTGGGTGCGTAAGCAGAGATTACAAAGAGACAACGGCGAGTCTCACTATTCCTTTTAGTTCTCACTGTGCCGTTCAGCCTCATAGCGCAGAGGCGACTATCAACTGGGATCCAGTCTAGTAGTGAGTTTTCTGCCCTGGTGCTTAATGCTATACCTACACCTGCAAGACCACGAGAGCTAGCTATCGAATCTCCAGAAACTCGAAGGGTGAATTTTGCAGATTCACCAGATTGGTCAGGAGAGGTCAGGTGAATAACCACACTTGGGTCCTGTATGCGTGTCTCACAAACACAGCACACATCCATGCCCGAGTTGCTAGAGTCTTTGCCAACGAAGCCTGTTGGCCAATTTGACGGAGGGTGCGGACATTGAAGGCTCCAATATGTAATTTGGAGCGTGGTTTAAGGAGACCAGGGATGCTGTTCTGTGGACTCAGATCGTTGTCGAAGGCTGCAGAGGTAGGAGAAATTGAAGATGATGCAGCATCATTAATTAAGAGACGTGAAGGAAGATTAGAAGGTAATGATGGAGGAGGAGGATAGCAGTCAGAAGAGGGCGGTTGACACTTCCCGGCTGCCCACACCGTGGAAGGCTATTTCTTCTTAAGGTACCTGAAAGAGATTTGTGTGACCGCAGAGCCCATCGGACATCTGCTTGAGGCCTGTCACACCCAGCCTTTTGAGTATGATTATTTTGAACTTTTGTATTTTTGGGGCCGGATGGTCGAAAGGAAACGACAAGTGAACCAACACCGCCGGCCCGGCAGACCGTGGGGCGTGGTGGAGTGTGTTATTTTTGGGGCCGACCTTTTCTAACCCCCCCTTCCACTGAGAAGGCAGCATCAGCATGGCACTGCTGGTCATCCAAGGGAAACACCTTACTGCTGTCACACCCCATCCAGCTAGCAGCAGTACGACTTCGCCCTCAGACCCCCATCATAGTGCAGCAATTTACACTATAACGGTAACTTAAACGTATGTTGACCAAGAGTATTCGCAATGATGGCCAGTGGTGGGTGGCAAAAGTGCGAGGGATAGAGAAGGCATCAGCATTGGGTAACACTCAGCAAGCATTAAAGATTATTAAGAATACCAGCATAAAGAAGCGATGGTGAGTGAAACTATCTATGAAAAGAATGAAACGCTGATAACCCAGGACAGGACAGGTGGCTAGAACGTTGGGCTTCAGTTACCATACATTCAGCCTGAATCTGAGTAGGAAACAGATGTCGGTCTTCCAACTCTCCTTGAAGTTGAAAAGGCTGTATCGAACCTCAAACGATACAAAGCAGCAGGACCTGACAGTTTACCACCAGAGATTTTCAAGGATGGAGACAATAAGTTGAAAATTAATGTGATAGAGGTACTAGGTAGTGTGCAGAAATCAGAAGTAGTGCCATCAGACTGGCGTAATTCACTGATCATCCCAGTCTATAAGAAGGAGAAATCATGTGACAACCACAGGGGAATTGGTGTGACTAATACTGCGTCCAAGATCCTAGGCTCCATAGTGAGCTGACGTCTAACCGGAGCTCGAGAAAACCAGGCAGCTTTCAGACATGAATGGATGAAGATGGGCCGATCATATTTTTACCCTACGACAAGTTCTGAAAATTAGGCATATCTACTGGCAGTCGAAAACTGCCATATTTCTTGACCTGAAGATGACATTTGGCTCTATCAACCGTGACGTGTTGTGGCAATGTCTGGCTATGAAGGGAGTATCTCGCAAGTACATAGTGCTTATCAAAGCTCTCTACTTGAACTCATGCAGCAGTATACGAGCTAATGGAGAGTTGTCATCTGAATTGATGACAACTAGTGGTGTCCGCCAGGGATGCCCACTCCAACTTTTCCTGTTTAACTTCGTCATAGAGGTACTAGTGGATATAACCATAGATATATTTGACTTCACAGAGATTGGCCTAATCCCAGGAGGTTATCTAGATGATTTAGAATAGGCAGACGATATTATCCTGGCAGGTGAAAAATGCAGGGTCCTCTGAATGCATTAAGCAGAAATCTTTGTATGTTTGGCATGCGTTTCGATGCCACCTATCAAATACAAGGTGATACCCAAGGACCGACCTGATGCAAGTACTCCCATTTTAATGATAGGGAGTGAAGTGGTGTAATGTGTCGACTACTCCACTGACTTGGGGAGTTGCATCAGCACAAAAAAGTTGGTTGCTGACGAAATCTCAGCTCGGATACAGAAGGAGCATTTGACATTTGCCGACTGGCAAGATATCCGATTATCTATCAAATGACAAGTATAATGAGCTGCAGTTCGTTCCTTCCTGTTATAAGGCTGAGACGGTAGTCAAAAGTGGAAGACATGAAGCGACTAAAGGATTCTGATCACGTGTCTTCGTAGCATTCCTCGCGATTGGTGGAATCACCGTGTGAGCAATATTGAAGTTGGGTGAAGAGTGCGAGACGAGATAGGCAAGTCAATTGATGAGGCTACGATTCTTCATTGACTAGGATGGCTTGGACATATACTGCGAATACCGAGCCATCACCTATCTCGACGTGGCATGCCAGGGGGAGCTGGATTAGGTTGGAAGAGGATTCAGGATGGTCAGACCAAGACGTAGCACCATTCTGTGAAGTCCCTAACTGTTGGTCCGAGACGTGTGGTGAGATATAGACTGACTAGGTGGGTCCCCGAGACGAAAAGAATCAGTGGTTGAGGACTCTTGGTGACATGGCTGGAAATCGGTCACAATGGCCCAGATGTATCCACTCTTCGGTGTCTTCTAGAGTTTAAGTATTCGCACTAACTTTCATCCTCAAACTCTTTTCTCTCTCACAAAACTTTGACTACTTTGATATGACGTTTTCCATCCACCTATTCTTTGTTTAACACTAAAGTGTGGCAACTTGAGCCAATGTAACCATGTGCGAGGTCCTACGTTGGTTTTGTCAGTCAGTCACTGAGAAAGTCAAGCAATTCGGTCGACGTTGTGAATTTCCAGGGGCTAAGGTGGCTTAAACATGTGTGGAGTATACTCAGTCACGACCTACTACGGGGTTCAGTGCTCGCAGTAGTTGGATAAAGCTGGAAGATGGGTGAAGTCTCTGACCACTGGTTTGAGACGTGTTGCGTTGTGAGCTGCGCAACTGTGGTCCTTAAAGAATAGGAATCAGCGGTTGACGACTTTGTGAAGTGGCTGGAAATCAACGATGAATGGTAGCCAAATTACCTACCTGCATGTGCCACTGACTTGAATCTAGAGGAAGTCAGGTGAACCAATGTCTCTACTAATTTTTGACGTTAATCCTGATCAGATGACGCCTAATACAACAGCTGCCACCCTTATGGGGTAATTAGAGCTTGGTTTTCATGATGACGAAGTCACAGGATGTTGATGAAATGCGCTTTGGAGTTTACATCAAGCTAGGGAGACCAGTTAGAGACCAGGAATAGCAAATCTTAGGCTACTCGAAGAACATGTGCTGCTGACCATTTTCATGATATTGTAGTCTTACGTCACAAACTTGGCACAACAATGGTACAAAGAAGTATACAACACAAAATAATCTAATAGGAAGTAAATGAAGAGAACCACAAGATTCTCTCTGCACGATCGATTCGATGAAACTTTCAAGCATTTCGTACTACGTTCTAGTGACAGGTATTAGCAAGCCACAGCACAACCGTTAAGCCATTAAGTCACCATACTGCTTGGGCCTCACCTACCAATCCTACCAAATCCCGAATAAGAGAAGGTATCAGTCATCCTGCGAAACCCAACCCGTCAATTAACATCCTACCTCTTCTTTGGCCAATCCCATCGATGGAAGCATGCCGAGACAGTTCCTTATTAACTCACTTATTTGGTATGGACTAAATTTAATGTTAATGTTAACTAACAGGAACGTAACATCCAACATCAATACTGAAAGAAGAGGAAACTTGTGGTTTGTGAGCTCTCACTTTTAGGTCTTGAGGCTTGGTTCTTTTTGATCGGTTGCACTCCTTCGATGGTTGCAGAAGTCTTTGCGTTTTCCTGCTTATCACGTTGGAGGTAGTGTTTGTCTATTTGAAGGCATTTTATTTGAAAATTGTGGCTTGGTTTTTTGGGCAGAGGGTGTAACGGAGCTGTTGATAAGACCAATTAACCGCTTGCAATCCCTGTTTTTGTAAGCACCTGCAAGTAAGTACTAAGCGTTACTTAAAAAGTGCTAGAAATAGGGTGAGTGGGGAATGAGAAAAGGAAGAGTGAAAAGTACTTATGGGAAGAAAAGTGTTACTGGTGATAATATGAAAGAGACATGAGTTTTATTGCAGATACTATGGTTAGGGAATACAGGGATGGAAGATCATATCATCAGTTGCGACTGACAAATGTTCGTGGTAAGCCATTTACGCTCATTTACCCATCCAGCAGTCGTTTCAAGGAGTCGACTGAAACTAACAGCTGTTAGTTTCATATGAAACTGCATCTTTGTAAATGTCGGCGAAAATCTGGTTTTAAATGAGGTTTCTTTCTATAATTGGACTTTGTCGATAAACTAGTCACCTAAAAAGATCATTCTTTCGAAAATTTAATCTAAATGTAATCGTTATCGAGCCAGTCAACATTTTCTTGGGTAAACCCAGGGAAATACGGGGCAAAATGCGGGAAACAAAAAGTGTGGGGCAAAACACGGGGAGTTAAGAACTCGTGGAAATGTCGCACAATTCCGCGTTTTGCCCCGCGAAACTGTTGACAGGGTGGTGAGTTCATTTTAAAAGTACCTGAAACGAAATGAGCCATCCTTCCGTTTTTATTATTGCAGCAGTCAGCAACAGAATTTCACCAAAAGATGCAACACAAAATGCGAGTAAAGAACTCCCACTAACCATGAAGGTAAGCTGAATCCATCAAACTGAGTGTTACGTAGCAATTAGACTTAGCGGTTCAATCGGTACGATCCAACATCCAACACCAATAGTGCGAGTACAGGAAACTTGTAGTTTGTGAGCTCTCACTTTTAGGTCTTGCGGCTTGGTTCTTTTTGTTCGGTTGCACCCCTCTGATGGTCACAGAAGTCTTTATGTTTTCCTGCTTATCACTTTGGAGATAGTGATTGTCTATTTCCAATATCCAATATTGATAGTGCGAGCGTAGAAAACTGGTAGTTTTTGATCTCTCGCGTCTAGTTTTATCTGCAAATAGTAGCTTGGTTTGTTTCGGGGGGGCAACAGAGCTGCTGATAAGACCAACCAACCTTTTGCAATTCCTGTTGTTGTAGGCATCTTAAAGTAAATGTTAAGTGTCATTTAAATAGTGATAGAAACGGGTTAGTGGGGAGAGAAAAGAAGCGAAAAGTACTTTTGAAGAGATACACGAGATTGGTAACAATATAGAAGGGAGGTGCGTCTCACTGCAGATACTGGGGTTGGGGAATGCAAGGGGAATATAGGGATGGAAGGGCGTATCATCGGTTGCTGCTAACAAATGTTCGTGGCAAGCCGTTCACGCTCACATAGTCATCCAGTAGTCGCTTGAAGGAGTTGACTGATGTAGCTGTGGCCACTTCTTTCGGCAGCGCGTTCCATAAGGCATTTACTCTATGGGAGAAGAAGTTAGATCTCACTCTAGTCTTTACCCTATGGTGGGGTATGCAAGTGGGGTCTCCACGGGATTGGCGGTTTTAGACCGATAATGTTGTCCCATTTGGGTGGTCCGCTTGATGAATGATCTTGTAGGCTGTCATTAGATCACCTCGTTTTCTTCGATAGCTTAGTGCGAACAGATTGAATTTCCTTAGGTGTTGTACACCTATTTTGCCTGTTAATCCGACAACCAACTTTGTTGCTCTTCTTTGTACCTTCCCGAGAGAATTCGCATCTCTCTTTAGTAAAGGAGGGGATACCGTGTTGAATACCTCTAAGTGTGGTCTAACGTCGCCTTTGAATACCGTGAGGAGTAACTCTGGGGTTAACAATTCAAGTTGCCTTCTTAGAAAATGCATAGTGGCGTTCGCCTTTGCTGCCATCCCCTTATAAATACCAGTAGTATCCAGTGTGTCGGAGAAGTTTAGTCCTAGGTCCTTCTCTGTGGATACCTTGGTGATTGTACGCTTGTTAATAGTGTAGTTGGTTTTCATCGCCTCTGGTGTGAGAAAATACATCACCTTGCACTTCTCCAAATTAAAGCTTAAACCTTTTGCAGCTGATCAGGATTCCAGCTGCAGAAGGTCGTTTTGGAGCGTTCTATGATCCCCCTCGTCGCCTATCGTCCTCCATATTTTGATGTCGTCGGAGAGTAGAAGGGTAGATGAAATTTTAGTGGGAAGGTCGTTTATAAATAGTACAAATAGGAGTGATCCAAGGACCGCTCCTTGAGAAACTTCTGTTCTTGCTTTCCTCCAGGTTGATCGAATTCTGTTTACTTTGGTGCAGAATTCTCTATCCTCTAGGTATGCCGTAAGCTAATACCCCTTATGATAGCTTGTCTGCAACATACTACATTATGAGTGAGTATTGAGCCTTCTTGTCTAACTCTACGAGTTTTGTCCCCGCAATAACTAGTTGATTTACTGAGGCTTGTTTCTAGGTCTAGCAGAACGGCTCCAGGACTTCATGGATTCCAGTGCAGTAGATCTACCCATTCACCTGCTGTAGCTCTGATACGCCCAACTAATGGTTAGGTGTTGCTTAGTTTCGGGCAGAGGTTTGTAGTGTCATTTGAGAATGTTGTGCAGAGTGATTCCTCGTATGTCTTGTCGCCAGACAATCGTTAGGACTTATCGTAAAAGGAAGATAAGGATATCCTAACGGTCACTAAAATAATCACAGGAGAGGAAAATGGTATAAAAAAATACACTCAGCTGTTCACTTGATGTACTTAAAGTGAGCCTGGTAGGTGGTTATGTGTTGATTAAATTTGTCTGGGGTACAGGATTTGTACTCCCATTGTGCTGAAAGTTGGGCTTTAAAATAGTCTTTCTGAGTGGCTTAATAAGTACAACATAATAACTCAGCGAACTAAAAGAAGTAAACGAAGAAACGATTGGAAGCAAGAGCGAAAAAACTGAAAAGAAAAAGTCTTTGCCCATGTTTCAAAATCTGTGAATTATTGTGCCGGATAAGAAAGATAACCTTTGCAACGAAGAACAAAATCGTTGGTTTGGTGGTCAAGTGATGGACGGAAAGAGAATGGTAAAATATCGGTCACCCTTAATATTAAAGTCGGGTTACCGAGGGGGCCAAAATGTAGTAATAAATCGTTTTCTAATCCACAAAAGTTTGTAAATTGTTGTTGCTAGAACTCCAACAGACCTCAGTGTGTGCCCCAAATCGGCTCCGCAAATTTCTTGAAATATATGCAGAAATCGACCCCATGACCCATACTGGCTTCGGGTGTAGATGAACATCTACTGCTTGGCTCATTGAGATCATTCAGTTCTACTTGTTACCGCCACCATTTTGAGTGTGCTCCCTTTTCCTTACTGGCAAACATCGATATGTCCTCCTCACGTGTACGGCCGCACGTATATGTGAATTGATAAATACGATCGGAATAAGTCACATGTTCCAGATGCTATGATGACTGACAGAAGCACATAAGTTCCGTTTTCTTCATGCCACAAACTTCATAGATGCCCTGGGCTTTTGTTGGGTGGTCAGACCCCGTAAGTCACCCAACTTCGGTGGTGCGATACACATATCTTTCCTTAACAGTGAATTAACAATTCACTCTCGCTCTTTGGCATTTCTGTTATGACTAGTCAATTGCAGGGGTTAATTATTGATAAACTTTCATGTTCCACCCCCTAAAAATGCTATTTATCTATGTTCCTTGGACCTGGTTGAGCAGAAATTTGACTAACTGTCATTTACGCTACAGTGAACACGATTTTTGACATTCTAGATGCTGTCCTCTTCATGTAGATTTCCCATAAACGGGTCGTTTCATTGAACCATCTTAATGGCGGACAACGAGAATGTCTACGAATTCCAGACAGTCATTCCTTTATATCCCACATGCTAAAGATACAATTATCTCGGCTTTGCACGCTACTTCGCGGTCTATCTGCAGAGGACAGTGTTTTCATCCCTTCTGGACAGACAACTGAATGAATGGCTGAGTCACTCGTGTATCTGACAGTTTGAAGTGGCACTTCGCAGCTCCAATTGGGGCTGACAGTTTATTGGCCGCTATATTCCCTTCTCGTACGCTGGGTCTAACGAGGAAATTAGCATGGTGCAAGACGGCGGCGTAAGTCTGAAGATGATCACAGCATTGCCACTTTTCCAAAGGAGTGCAAGGTGCCGGATGGAGCCCACGTCAACTTTATGCGAGAGTCCTAAGTGTAGAGCTGGTGGGGCATGCTGATGACCATACCTAGTTGTTGCCCTGATGTGCTGCATATATGTCGAAGAAACTGATTTTTCAACTGACCTACGACAGAACGAGCTCCATGATGCTTGTTGTTAGTCTGTCCACTTCTGCTGATGGTGCTTTGAAGTCTCCTACAACTAGACGTTGGCGATTGTCTGTTCGGGGCAGCATCTTACTCAGAAGAAAGCCCACCGCCCCGCATTCAGGGCTTTGATACGCTGCAATTAGGTTGGCATCTTGTCCCTCGCATTTTTGTCGGCAGCCAGGCGTTTCATATGTCTCACTTTTATGCACAGCGGTTTCTATGGTTTTTGCAGTCAAAGTATTCTCAACACAAAGGACGACACCACCACCTCTGCTAGCTAACCTACCACTTTTAAAGGGTAAGAGTCTGTGTAAATGTGCTCCACTGCCACAAACCTCAGAAGAGAGCCAAGCTGCTGAGACGGCAATGGTGCTGCTACTTTGTATGCTCGTTACATTACTAAATTCGGTTCACCTGTTTAAGAGACTACGTGTATAACCAATAAACTAGTAGCTGCAACCAGGTTCTTACACGGCCACTATCCAGTGACTGAAGACATGCTACGATTCTCAAGGCCTACATTCTTCAACTCATTTGGTTTCAAAAATGTGCCATTGGCATCTCGCGTGCTAAAACTGGAGGGGGAGTAGGGATATTACCAGATATCCCGCACTCCGGGAGAATCCCCTCATGGAAACTCTTGGGCACCAATTGTGAGGGTTGCTTTATAGAAAAGAACATGATAATAGAAGGCATACCTGAAAACCAAGGCACCGAAGATATTCACCACGATTCTTGCGAGTGAAAGTTCCTGAAGAATGCTCTGAACCTCAAGTGAGTAATAACACGGTTGCGTCTCATGGATGCCAGAAAAAGATGATGACTCAAGACCAAGTTTGGTCAAAGTGGTCTTTCTGGTCTGTCAGATAGTTGCATCCACACTCGAGGCATTCTGGGCGGACAGAAATCGGCAGCTCCCTGGAGTCTGAATGCAGCCTGACGGGCAGCAGAAAGAGAGGCTGCAGAAAAGACCGGGCCAATTGTACCCCTGGAAGATTGCTTAGATGCGTAAAGCGGGGAAGGGGTGGGGAACACTGCACCGGTATGCGGCACTTGGGCACGCTCCCAGCAACCACGTCTGAGGATCCAGTCACCCACCTGGACGGTGAGGGAGCTCATGAAGTGCACTCCGGACAGACAGTATAAAGTTCACCCGCACAAATCCACAAAGTTTACCGAGAAGACTCGACAAACGGCGGAAACCATGTAAGGACGCTTCTACTCATCTTATAGGTGTTACTGAGACACGGTTTCCCCTTGACGTATCAAACCGGGAGCTGGCAGCTGCTGACATCACGCTATTTCACAGCTGCGGGGGATGGTAGGGGGTGGAGTAGCACTTTACGTCGGCTTTTCTTTCTCGGCTCACCAAATCCACCCTCAATAATTGGAATGCCTCTAGGAGTCCATGTGCCGCACCATAAAGCTGTCCAAGACTATGTAGCGCCTGGTGGGAGTCATTTATAGGAAGCCATCTGATGACATTATGTGATGATCATACGCTAGGGGTTGCTTTCTTAAATCGAGGTATGCACGCCCACTAATTTTGAGCGACTTTAACCCACCGAAGGTTAACTTTGCCGATCACACGTTTAGCGAGGGCGATCATTCTGTTGAAGCCCGATTCTTTCATATAATCGAGGAACTAAGGCTTACGGAAGACGTGGGAATGGTGGCGTAATCGAGTGAGACTGAAACCCCTTCTCGCCTAGACTGCATCTTCACAAGTGGAGAATTCCTGATTGGCAACTTATCAATCCTTCCTCCGTCGGGGAAGAGTGAACATGTTGCTATCGGTTTCCAGTATGTCTGCGAAACCAGGCTTTTCATTTAACCTAGTTGGAACTTCCGGCGACTTGGTGCTCAGGCTCTTCGGATTGCACTGGAACAGACAAATTTGGAGGTTAATGAAGTATGGTGGGGTGCGGGGATCCACTGGAGATTCGCGCCTGACAAAATTATGCATGCAACCAGCCAGTCTGCTACACTTTTGAGACCTAAGTGTTTCGAGTTGCCCGAGGTAGTAAAGAACTGCACTGCAAACTATTTAGGTTGAAGAGACACTACTGGGCTGACCACGAAAGGAATGGCACCGAATACACTCACAGATAATTCGAAGAAATAAGAATCACATATACGAGGGTATCGGGGGTTAGTCGGTAGCGACATCAAGTTAGGCCTGCAAACATGTTTGTTTCTAACCTGAGAAGTCCGTTCCGCTACACTACATCCCCCCAGCAGGCTAAAGCGGGAGTCTCTCAGCTACTAGGTGCCGGCGGACCGACCGGCCAACCAGCGCATACAGATCTTTACGTCATCGTTCACCCACCAACGAAGTACGGCTCTTGGTCATTGGCTTAAGCGCTGCCCAAACTGCTGTTATTCACAAAAGCTTACTCTCCGGGACCAGACAAAATCCATGCAGCACAAGTACTAGTGGCAAAGTCGATCTTGTTTGAAAAATCAAACAAGTTACTTAGGAATTCTCCTGGTCAAGAAAAAGTACCCGATCCTTGGAAGTCAAGCAACACAGTGCCAATCTTTAAAAAAGCCCAAAGAAATACCGACTGGTGGCGTTTACATCCATGCCATCAAAAGAAACGGAATCACTAATCCAGGATGACCTTAAGGATCACCTGACAATGATCAACACCTTCGCACCCCGACGACAAGCGTTTCAAAATCGTACTCTCGGATTACGAATCTGCTCACTGCAGGAGGTAGAAGGACTAGCGTTGTCGACCATCAAGGTCGAACTGATGCTATTTACCGAGACTCTGCTAGTGCGTTCGATCATGTTAATCACAACTGCCTACATATCAAAACAAATCGTGACGAGACCACCGCTCAATGGCTGGTCGTCTTCGTATCCGAGAGGCCGTTCGCTTAGATTTTGAGTGGGTTTCTCTATGTTTGAGGTAGCAGAATGTTCAAGTGGCGTTCTCCAGGGTGAAGTACCGGGGTCTCTTCTTTTTCTAGTATGTACAAACGACTTACCACTACAGGTCTCTTCCGAAATCCCTCCTTTTGCCAACGATATGAAACTATGAAGAGAAATCAAAAGCGGGGAAGAGAGTATCTCTCTACAGAAAGATTTAAGCCAACCTCAAAACCAGGCAGTCAGTAACGGGCTCGCGTTTAATCCTGAAAAGTGCGGGGTGATACATGTAAAATGCAATGCATATCGTGTCTGTAGCCTCAGCGGCATGGAGCTTGAAGCGTCGCTGACGGAGAGGGATTTAGGCTTAAAATCCTGTACCAGCTGAGACAGAAAAGCATTTTGAGGGTGCTTTGTGTCAGTAACTCATGGACTTATCTTCGACCGTAGATGTCACCACCAAATTTCCGCATGGTCTCACCTGGAATTCGGGGCCATCGTCCTGCCTCCTTCTCTGTAGAAGGACAAATCAGGTTTCAGATACGCACAGAGGCGGTTGACGAAATTTATCAGAGGAGTTAGGTCTAAAGTGTATGAAGAATGGCTGGCTGAGCCGGACCCATATCCCCTGGAATAAAATAGGATAAGAAGAGATTTGCTAATGGTTCGCAACACTCTGGGCGCCTCTGGACACCAAGTACGTCACTTACTGAATCTTGGCCGTAGCACTAACCCCAGAAGACACAAACAGAAACTAAGCCTAGAACATAGCAGGTTTGAAATCGAACACAAATTCTGTTCCTAAAGTGATTTCCAGTCCTGGAGCGCTCTTCCCACAGACGTGATCCAGCCTACTTCGCCTGAATCATTAAAAGAAGGACTGGATGCTTATCTGACACGTGGGTGAGATCTGGTCAGAAATAATTGAGTTGTCACATTTTAACCACCACTGTTTTCCTCTCTTTACCTGTACACAGGTTAATAACCGCAAGAATTAGTGACCCACGGATTGTAGATGCGGAAGGCAGTGGAGAGATAGCTTCTTCTATTCAGTCCGAAACCTTTTTGACCATTTTAAACAGATATTAGAGTTCTGATCTGCTGTCTTTAGTTTATTCTGTTTATTTACACCTTTAAACTTGGGAACGTAATTTTCCAGCCTACGTTTCTCAGGCATAGGAGCTGGTTTAGCGAATCCTTCCTTTACAGCACCAAGTATTGAAGGTAAACCAACATAAATCATCTTCCTTTATATATTCTGTCCTTTTGCTACATTCAGTCTTCAACCCCCTTATTGCTGTCAAATACTAGTTTTCCCGAGAAGTTTATATAACAGTGACGTGTCTGCCGAAAATGCTATATCCGAAGCTTTGATAGGGATAACGCGGTCGTGCACAAAAAGGGACAATAGCACCCGAAGCAACACTATAGTCTGTACCCACAGACAAGCGGAGGTAGGACAGAACACCGAACTTCTAAAGAAGCTCCCAGCTTGTGTTTCTATGATTCCAGTTGCCATCGGACAGTTGACACAGGGTAGCACTAGCCTATCGCAAACTAGCCCTACCTTGGGCAAGGATCATATCATGCCTGCAAAGAGGAGACGGCGTAAAAGGCTTCAGAACAAGGCAGCCACAAGCAATTCGCCATAATCCGTAGCACCTTATTCATGGAAAGAAGGCTGCTTTGCGACACCCGATGGCTGCAGTGTTTGCACTGAAGTTGTTTCGGTAATTGATGAGGCATTTGCATGCAACCTATGTCACCAATGGGCGCATTGCCACTGTGACACAAAAGTCCCCAACTATACTACTATAGAGAGCCAACACCATACTCAAGTCCAATTTTTTCTCCCTGACAGTATGTGCTTTGTGGAATGCCTTACAGCTACATATCGTTATAGCCCCCTCAGTCAACTAATTCAAGGGACGGTTAGACAGTTATGTCACCTCGCATGGTCTACCACGGACGTATTCAGGTAGTAATCAACCTCACCAACCTCTTTAGCCCCCAACTCCCTCCTGCCTACCACTCACTATCTCTCCCCTTAATACACCCCCATTACCCACTAATTTTTCTATAGGAACAAAACCCACGCTACCATTCGGGCAGTCCCCACATACTTTGCCCTCTCTTTTATTCCTCTTTTTCGCCCCTCCTTTTATTCTCCTTTTCCTTTCTCTCTTCCCTTATTTTCCTTTTTTTCCTCTCCATTCTTTTAGCACTACCTTACCATTCTCTTTCAGGTACCTATACAGGCAGGTGTCACGGCAGTCTCCTAAACGTCCCAGCAACACGTAGCTTCCCAATCGCTCTACAGATTACAACTTAGAAACCGACAAAACATCCACCTCACCGAAGTTAAAAGCAAGAAAACAGAGGGGATTTCCTCGTCCAAACAACCGAACAACTGGAACCAAGCCCTAAGAACTACACGTGAGAGATCAAAGACTATCAGTTTTTACTCTAGCACTATCAGTAATGGATATTGGAATATTGGAAGTATTCGAGATGTTTGCTTTTGTTTCTTATCGTCACAATAAAGGATAACACTGAAATATATGAGGCGCCAGGTGTGTATTTTTCCGCAGGTTACTCTGGGATTTAGTTTTACAGCCTATTACTGGTTGGGTTCTGCGTAGCTAAGTATCATATAATACCATATCAGTTGGCTAAATTGGATTTCTCCTTCTAACGTGAGTTTAACTAGTAATTTACCAGCATTTACTTTGGACGTAATTAGGAATTTTCATGCAAAAATCTATGCATGTGCACTAAGAGATGCACAGTGTTTGCCCTGTTTAACCAGAGGATTCTACCCGAAACTCCTTCAAGATTTATACTGTTCTTGATTGTATCACACGTTTCGAGCTCTTCTTTTAGTAAATACCAGCAGTACTATGGTATTGGTTGTTGTACAGTAGTCCTTAAAGTCACATACTTGGAGAAGTGTCTTTAAAGCCGCTAAGTGTTCCCTGAGTGAATATAAAGCTTATTTTCAGTTGACCGGTATAGTTTTGTGTGTTTGGGTGGAGTGGTGGGTGTTGATAAAGTTTTGAAGTTTATTGTCAATGTCTCGCGTTCTACGCAACGACTGGATGATATACAATTTGTCACTTACCAAGTAAACTGTTAGGTTCTGATGAATATTTGATAGTTTTGAAGCACAGCAATGGCAAGTGTTTACGGGCAAAGTCAATGCCCATAGAGTACTAAGCAGATAATTATACTCAATCTTCCCATGAGTAACATTGTTGTATGACTATAAAAATAGATCTTCGCTGGTTATGGCGTGGAATGTAAGCATTATCACTACTGTCCACCACATTTTTAGTGTGGTCTCTAGAAGCGACGAACAGTAAATCGTTCCTACAAAGCTAGTTTCGTTCAAAATGTATATTTATATTCCTTTCATAAATATCCCCACCCCACTTCCTGTTTTCAGAAGAGTGGTGTGAGAACTTTCACGTTGAGATCTCGAACTTACCACTTTCTACTTTTCTGTTGAGTGCAAGGTCAACATGAATTCAACAGACCTACAGTAGACTTTCCATCTGTTTACGTCACAACCGAGATTTTGGGTTGTGCACGTTTTACCATGAAGATTTCAGACTTTGGAATACCTATCGTTGTCGTCTTCAAATCCTGTTGATTCGTCGGACTCTTTCTTGCTCTATTTGAACGAAAGACTTTGAATACCCTCTATCAAAGCAATCTGTAGTGACTGAAATAGTAAAAGTTCGCAAATGTAAAAGCTTTCGACAACCGCTTTTACCTAACTCTGTTAGTGTTTTGATTTGTCGTTGCATATAACTTTTCCGTACATTAGCATCTGCTACTTCAAACGGAGGCAAGGTATTCAAAATCTATCTTCATCAGGATAGTGTATGGTCAAAAAATCACTTGTTTTAGGCGTGGCGAATACTTATGTTTCAGACAAGCATTCTACGCCAGCTGATTGCTTAGCAGAAACATCTGTTCACCATCATACACGAACGCATATCAATAACAGTTATAGCCTTATTTAGTGTCTTCTGCTTACTCAGTGACAATGTTTTGGAGCATACATTGAATTAAGAGTCCGATTATTATCTTGTGTAGCCTCGTCATCATATTAAACTTCGTTACTTGTTCTAATACCTCTTCTCTTTCGATCATGGTTTGCTATGAGTTCTCACTATATTGTTTTTATTTTTTTGTCTTATCATCTTGTATCATGATGTGCTGGTGTGAAGTGTACAACTTCAACTGTTACGCATCAATGGCAGGTCACATGCTAATATTGGCTAACTGACTATATATTACTTGATCTTCAAATATCCTGTTCATAAATATGCAGTCGTGTCTACGGTTGTGTACTATGTTCTTCATAAATAAGGGTTTCAAAGCTATTACAATGAAACATGGATCCAGTTGATTTTGAGTTACAGGATTGAAAGATAATACATCCTACTCCCATGAATGTAATTCAATGTATACAGACGATTTGGATGAGTTTTCATTTAAATCCAATAAAATGGCGGTGCACTTCATGTGATACGTAATTCTTCCAGTTATTTGTTGTCATGTAGAGTTTGTATAACCTGCAAGCTCTTAGTTACTGGCTCCCTGGATCTTTAATCTAAGTCCAATAGTTTTTTCTCCGACTTTGCATAAAGTTGGAATCACGATGTATATTTACTACGTTGCCAAGATGAGAACTTCATATTTCATTGACTTCGGTTGTAAATGAGCTGAGCAAACTATCAAAAATAACACTTAAGAAAGAAATACCTTCCTCTCATGCATTCTTTCATCCTCTTTCTTCATTTGAAGAAATATAACCAACTTGGAACACCAACAAAAATCGAAAGAGAAACCTGAAAGTAGCATTATTAACTGTTAAATATAAAGATTATCTCCTGCTTGGTCCACATTTTTATGATCGTAAAGCAAACTCTTTTAACTTACCTTTTAATCAGCAGAAAAATTCAAAACTACGACGAATAGGAAAGTAACATAACCACTTACATGCCACTCAAACCTATTGTAAACGTAAGTTCATTATAAACCGAAAAACTTCATAAATAATTTGGGTGTATGATATGCAGTGACAAAAGGGGTAATTTAGTAATTGTTTGCTGTTCTTCCAGCTTCGTGGTTTGTTTTTATTCATAAAGAAGTAAGCCGTAATGAATTTGCCTGAGTTGGTGATGAAACTTCCAAGGACAAACTCCAAGGCTTGGAGACCACCAGAAATTATCATCATCTGTATTATCTCAAGGGACACTTAATTAGAGGCTAGACTGACGAAGGAGTGAAAACCCAATGTGACCGACTGATTGTAAAATATGGTGTGAAATTCAGCTCAGAAAAAAAAATCACAAAAGCCTCTGTTGGATGCTAAATAAAACCAGGCTTGTTATGTTTGTTTACAGGTTCTCACATACATCGCATACTCTGAGTATGTCTGATTAGTGATCGTATTTAGAGATCTGTAACTGGTTTTTGGTAGCTTGACTTATATTAAACTTCTGTTCAATTGAATTTTGAGGGAGTTGTGGAGATTTGGAAATATTTCAAATTGTTATTCGTCGTAGACTGACATCAGTTGGAGGAACGAAGGAAGCCTGGAAGCACTGGACAGCTGTTTCGTCCTAGTATGGGACTCCTAAGCAGTGCGCACCCACGACCCCGCACCACCGAGGATCGAACCCGCGGCCTTCAGGTTCCGCGGCCAGCGCGTTACCAATGAGCCACTGGGTCAAAATCCAATGGTCCATATTTCCAACTTCTGTTAGCTCACGATACAGCTCAACCGCAACCCAATGTCATCATTGAGTAACTGTCCTCACGACCATCAGGCTTTGACTCCACTGGTCACGACTTCTCATTGGAACTTCGGGAATACTTCTCGAAGCTAGTCACCAATGAGTTCATTGGTGTTCTGTTTGCCCAAAAAAGTGTAACTAGTGAATACATTTTTGAATAAGTATTAACGGAGTTTTCGTCGCAGTGTTCACAAGTTGTTCCCACTTTTGATGACGTTGGATTCAAGCGTAATTAGGATGTAAACGAACCATGTGAAATCGGTTAAAGTAAACAAAGAAATCAAATATATTAGATTACCATAATCAACTACTTCTGACTGTACTATCGCTAATATATGAACAAAATTGATCAACCTAATTTCCTATAGGAGGTTTAGTGGGACCGAGAAAAGTAAATAACAGTCAGCTGAGGGCTGTTACAAACTGTTTTCTGCAGATATTTGTATATTTTGCTTATCTAGTTTCCCCCAAGTTAACGGTCGCTATCCTTTTAAGCCTATGAGTTTACTTTGGTGGCGTTGCTAAACAGCCATAGTGTATGTATTCAGTTAATTTCATTCAAAGTAATCTTGTCGAATGGGATTTTTGCAAGTAAATCCACGGACTAAAGATGACTGCTTTCCGAATGACCGATTTGGAATTTTTATTCAAAACTTAACGGAGATGTTCTTGGTCTGTAACTTCACCGGTTGGAAATCCCATTTCTAACGACTGATGTAAGACAAACACTTCTTTTCAATGGAAATTACCTTTTCGGACCAAGGTCTACTAGTTTGTTTGGGTTTCAGGTTGCAACTTGAGACAACTGTTCACAATAAAAGTAAATGAAACTGTATATAGTGGACAAAATTATACTCAAAAGTATGTGAAAGCGAGTACTTCAGATTACTTTAAAAGTTGGATTGATCCTAAGCAGTTAGTGACCAGCGAAATCTCTGTATGAACACAGTTGACCTTCACCAACTTACTCCATCTTTAGCGCCAGCGTAGTATCCGATTGTCTAATAAGGGCCAAATGTGCTGCTCAGTGATTCATTCTTTCCCCTGGTATGTGGGTGTCTCATTGGTCTACCCCTCGACTTCACCTAATTGGAGGGTGTTCTCAAATCCATATTCAAGTAACGAAGTCTGGGCGACCAAGTGGTATCATTATTCCCCACAATAAATACACGTATCTTTATATTCTGATGTAAGGTGTGACAGCTTGGGGCACTATGCTGTAACGACAGGTCCCATGCTGATGCCGATCCCATTTAGGTAAATCTTGCACTGAAATCCCGTTAGCTATCTGGTTTCCTTTGATGAATTTTTCTAGTAGGTGTTGCAGAACTATCCTATATCAGGCATACAGCTACTTTCGTACACTTAGTTTTTTTTGTTAGCTAGTTCAAAATGCAGTTCCAGGAATGCAAAGTAAAATTGTATTTGTCGTTATTCTAAATACCTCTTCGTTTTAGTCACTGTAGCCTCAAGTTTATTAGGACGGTACCTTGTTGGTTTATAGTGCTTAGACGACACAGCTACTGATAAAATGTAATCTCCTGAAGGCTTTAAGCACACATTTGAGTATTTTTAGTATGCATTTCTCACCCGTAAAGGGTAAGATGTTGCTTCAAGACTGGTTGCGTACATTTTTCACTTCACTTGCTTAGAAAGTTATGTCAACCCAAACGAGTTGGTTGCTGAAGAATTCTCAGTTCGAATACAGGAAGGTCGTTTGGGATTCGCCAAGTGACTCCATCTCTGGTGCCAGCGAGATATCCGACTACTTACTGAAGAACGAGTATGTTGTGCTGCAGTTCGCTCTATTTTATCATGCGCTTGTGAGACGTAGCCGTTGCAAGCAGAATGTATAGAGAAATTACAAGTTTTTTGAACACGTCGTCCCAGCATTTGTCAAGTATGGTGGGATCATTGTGAGCTATATCAAGGTCAGATGCAGATTACTAAGTAGACAAGGCAAGTCAGTCGCTGAGGTTGTAAACCACCGACTGGGGTAGCTTGGAAATATGTTCATAACTTGACATGAGATGTCAGCTGAAGTAAAGTTGGGTTGGGTAGAGGCTTACGTTGATAAGACCAAAATATGACACCAATTGGTAAAGTGTGTGACTGTTGGCCTGAGCGATGTAGAATGTGTTAGAATACCTGGTTAGGGTGGGAGCCAGTGACTATAGACTTGGCGATGTATCTCAAAGCCAGTCATAACATTGCAGATTTGTTTTGAATATCTTCACCAAGCTTCATCTGATTATTTTAATCTGCTCTAGTACTCTTTTGTGTACCTTAAAATTATTCTTCTCCTATTTACTGATTACTTGCGTGCTACTGTGAAGCTTGGTAACTTTGATTGATGCACTTTTGCATCGGTTCCTACGTTGATCTATCTATCTGTTTCAAAAGTAAGATGTAGTTCTCAAAAAACTCAAGCATATCCACATGAAAATCATTATCGTTTTTCTTGGGGAAGGCAAAACATTCCGTGTCAGTTATTTTTGTGAAAACACAGTGGTAATAAATGCATGAAGGTGCAGCATCAACTTCACTTGTAGTATGATTCTTCAGTCCTATTCAAATCAGTCACATTTGTTTCGAATGGATCTTCTTTTTACTGGGAACTGTTATTTCGATGTTTTTTGTTGACGAAGATTAATGCTTTACAGGCGTGTTGAAATATGAGTGGTTGTATTGCGAAAATAGGTTTCCCAAGAACTATTTGGCATTTTGTTAACATGCATAAACTTTACTAAACTACTGTAATCCTAAATGTTCTTCCATCTTAGTTGTGTTAACTCATATTTACTTTCCAAGTTGAATGTTTACATGCAACATGTAGTTCCATTCCTGTTTGGTTTTGATGACTTTGAGAAGAACATTTATTAAAATTTGATATGTCGAATTATGAAACAGTGAGTATTCAAAACTTTCCAGACCATTTTATGAAAGGATCATCTGCGTGCTATTTTAACCAGTTTCAGTGTTAGCGAAGGATAATAAGTATGTAAGCTGCCGTAACAGCATGCGTAAGATGTTCTCAGATCACTGAAACCATTGTTTTAGCACAGCTTTACCTATTGAGAAATGGATTCAGCTATACTCTAGCACATGTAGTTGAGAATTATTCACGTGGTATTTTTAGTAGATGCGAGCAGTTCTGCGAAGACAGTCGTGAGTAAACAGAAAGTTGTTTATTCTGTTTATGTGTAGTGGCCAGATCTTATAGGTGTACAGAGGAACTGCTCTCACCGACGGATGATAGGCTAGCAGGAAAACGTCAACACCTACAGTACCCACATAGCATTTCTAGAGCTGGTTGGTTGATTTTTTCGATGATGGAGGGAAATGGCGAGGTCGCGAAAACCAATCCCTATTAACGTTTCCAACAATATAGAGAGGTAATTGTTATACCGTTATCTTAAGTATCGTTGTATGACTTTTAAAGTTTTAATTAACTTAAGGACGCCTTTGTCTTTGAAAGTTACAAAGTGCAGTGTACGATGTAGCTAATTGAAGGCAATTCTGATACGAAGAAATGGGATTACTAGCATAACACACGTATAGTTTTGTTCAGACTTTTGACGAAGGCTAAACATATAAGGTCAGTGCATCCACAGTTTTTTGCATGGTGTGTGAACTCGACAACAACCATTATTTTGGACATGACTGATAACCGACTAAAAATACAATGATATTATTCACGTACATTAATTAAGTTTATTTTAATAGCGAGTAAATTGGAATTTGTAAGTGCTAATGTATTAATGTGTTCTACTTACCTTGCGCTATCATAATGACAATCATTCGAAAACGTTTTCCGTTGAAGTTTATAGACTGTTGTAGAGGTCAGTTAGCACCGAAGCCAACTTTACACACGGTTTCTAAGAAAAGCATCCATATCACTCTGCCGTACAGAGGGGGAGTTGAATAGTATCATTTTGGGACGTGGGCTGGCATTAGCCGTTAGGAAAACATATTACGCAGATGGTCTTATCATTGCGGAAAGAAACAAAACATATGCTTCATTACAACCTAAACGCCACATCAATGATTAGGTCAAATTCCATTGTGTCTACCTACTTACATGTGTGTGTATGTGTTTGTGGTCACACATACATAGGGTTGAGTAGTCGAGTCATGCAGTTGGGGATGGGAGAACATGTACCTAAATGGCTTCAAAAACAAATGGAGTGTGAAACCGTGATAAACGCTGATGGGAGACGACCGTCTTCATATATAAATAAACATGTTATAGGAACAGATCACATAGTTAATGTCCAAGCAACTTTCAAAGTTTTATATAGAAACAGTCAGTCAGGAATGCATACTGAGATATGCGAAAACCATAGTCATATACAAACTGAAACCACCTTTATGTGTATAAAAACAGTTTGTTCCTACATCACACCTACCTTGGTAAACTTTGTTTTCTTACCAAGATTAGGATCAACTATATCACTCTTCCTGTTTGTTCTCATCTTTCTTAATTTAAATCCCTTATTGTTTTAATTGTTGTATTTGTCCTCCCACTCTTCAGTTTAATATAAATTGACTAGACAAGTAAATGTGTAGGGGATCGGATAGTTCGAAATGTATTGCGCGAATACATCATGTGTTGTTCAGATAAACTTCATCTTCAAATTCCATAATATAAATTCATAAAAGGGATTAAGTGCTTTAAAGTTTTCGTATTTATACTTAAATATTTCTTTGTACACATATCGTTGAGTTGTTGCCAGATATTACAATATTTCCCCTATCTAACAGATGACAGCATTTAAGCTGATGAAATTTGTCTACATGATTTTCAGTGAACTATATAGTATTTAATGAAAAGGTGAATATTGTTTTTCAGTATTCGTCATGTTGAATAATTCACATATTACTTGGTTTTACTCAACTTTTCAGCCTACAGTATCACCCTAATTGAAAGATTACATATTTCACTATGGCAACAGAAGGTGTTGGTAGCACTGAGTCAGATGCTTCTGTTGAGGCATGGTGGCAGAGTTTTTTGAAACAAAAAACTTGCTGATGACGAGTTAGATGAAGAGCTCCGATCTGCATGGGAGAATTGTGTACAGAGACGTGCCAAATTTGCTGAAGAAGTCAAACGGATAATGGAATTATACCAACCTATCGAAAAGTTGCTCAACAGTGCGCTGGGCTCTGATCGTGAACAACGAGGTCAAGGTCTTTACAGAGAGTGGGGTAATGCCATTTTAAATAACTTTTTAATATATATATATATATATATATATATATATATATATATATATATATATATATATTCTACTGTATGCATGTGAAACATGGCTGTTAAAGGTAGGAGAATGGGAAGGCTTCAGGTGTTTGAACACCTTTGCCTTCGTAGCATAAGTCTTGTTTTGTGGTGTTACCACATGAGTGACCCAGAAGTCAGGAGTAGAGTTTTGGGGAGGAGAGGTGAGACAGTTGATGCGGTTGTGAACCTTCATTAGTTGAGATGGCTGGGACATGTGTTACGTATGCCTAGTCGCCGATTGCCTCATCGCTTAATTTTGGTCGAAGTAGGTTCAGGCTGGAAAAGGGCTCGTGGCGACCAGACTAAAACATGGTATCAGTGCATGAAGTGCTTGACTGTTGGTTCGAGCCATGTTAGGCGATGCAGACTAACCGGTTGGAGTCTTCGGGACAAGAGAAACGGGTGGTGACATGGCTCAGAACCGATGTCAGTGGCTCAGATGTATACATACATTATTCTCATCTTAACCGCTATGCTGAATTCATCTCTTTCTCATTCCGCCTTTCTCACTTTTACTGCTTTCCACTACTTTTAACCGATTCTTCTTCCTCTCTTCATCTTCCATTTTATTACCTTGTTACTTGATGTGCTGATATGAGGTGTGGCAACTTGGACCATTAAGCAGTAATGCCTGTTCCTATTTTGATGTTGATGATGATGGGTTGCGAGGTTAAATACATAATGTAGAGTAGTCCACCAGAGTCAATTAGGCTCTCCGAGCACAATCGCTTAGCTAATTCAAGATTGATAGGTCTTAATAAAATAAGGAACTTAGAGAAGAGTTTGGCTATAGCTATGCATACGATTACACACTATAGGGTAGGACAGAGTGATTGTATTGAAAACCCACTTAGTTTGGCGGAGGTGGAGATGGATAACCGAGTGTTTTTTTTTTATCTAATCAACGCCAAATACATGTAGTAAGGTTGACTCAGCATCTTTCCCAGATATATAGAAAATTCACCATATGACACATGTGATAAGCAACCTATGATGGAATTACAATCTACCATAGTGTCCAAGTTTAACTCCTGTATTATTATTTTTTTCTGTTAATAATTCAGCATATAGTTAACATGAAATGTGGTTAGTACTGGCCAAGAACTATAATTTTTCTTTGCTTTCAGGTAAAATACGTCGAAAAGAATGCCTTTTGGCTTATTATGACAATGATACGTTTCGGGCAACATACACTCGACAACGATATTTGAATAGTGCTACTAGTTTCCTACAGGTATGTAAAAGTATATTACTTTGCTTTAAACTTGATTTATTTTCTTCTCAACCTTTTTGTTCCATCCGTTGATTCTAGTCAGGTGGTTTTCGCTTCTATAGATAGTTCATGTCTTTGTCTCTTCTCCAACCACTGCATGGATTATCACTTCGAAGTAGGATGTAGGTCGATGTGCATTAACACGTGATCCAGCAATCTGATTTGCTGATACTTGTATATTTCCATTACTAACACACACGCATCTGCGTCATCGACTCTCTCTGTATTGACAAGACTGTTTGAGATGGCTGTGGTTTGTTGGCCTCCTGGTTACCGACCTGGCGCTTTGCCAACTGAGTTACGAGAGCCAACTGCTTGGTCTTATTAATAATAAATATGGCACTGTGGGTTTAGGATGAGACTCAGCTGGGTAACCAGTGTTATTATGATGGAAAATAAGTTACTTATCATGGATTCATATGAAATGAAGTTAAGACTCGATCATTAACTAACTAGGTGTCACAACTTAATTGGTAGAGAACCGGGCTGGTAATCCCCATAGGCCTGTGGTTCGAATTCCTGGTTAACCTAGGTTTTCACTTCACGCTTGATCACCACCCAGCATGAATCTTCTATTATTCATCCTAACTTGTCGATTCATGGTCTTGGAGCTATGGCTTATTGGTTCAGGAAGATGGGTCACGGCTTAAAGCCCAGCCCCACCTATCGAGGTGATTTGGGCAGCCAAGTAGTATCACTAGCCCTCCCCACAGACTAAGTATGGCTCATTGCCGCATACTGCACGAAAATACACAAGGTTACTAAGTGCATTTCAATGCGATTCGTGATTGTTTTTGCAAGACGATTAGTAATTGTTTGTACGCCAGCTTCCTTCTGTCATACCAGCAGATGAATCGAGGATTCCTTAGTTACTGCTTTTACAAACTAAAGTATATTGTATGAGAAGAACTGTCATCTTTTTGCTATGGTTATTACAATTGATTTTTTCCGGCACAGTTTGCCTTGAAATCAACCAATCTCCACGAACACTAGTTGAATTTGCCTTATTCTGTTGGAACTAATTTTATCAAGTATGCTGACGACCTGACGATTTATATTCCAGTCAACTCTTCTTTGGATTGCTCGAAATTAAATGAATTCTTGTCTGAAGTTGGCAAATGGTCTCAAACGAAACCCCTCTAAATGTCAGACTTGATTTCAGCCTCAGGCGTAAACAAGACTTATGTGAGCTGCTTAAATCTCATGACGCCTGCTGCATCAATGGCATTTCTGCAGAAAGTGAATCGAGTGTTATCTATCTTGAGTTGCGTTTTACTTCTGACCTTTATTGGTTGTCCCATATTTTATTGACTTGTAAAAAAATCTTTCGTTTAACTTATTACGTAAAGAAATTGAGGCCTTCTGGTATAACTCAACTGCTTCTTTTACAATTTATCAATTCCTGAATTTTACCTATTCTTCTCTATTGTTCCCCATTAATCTTTCCTGGTCTTCTTAAAAAGGACTATGTTATATCGCGTGGGGCTTTGAAGACCCTCAGCAGGGTGAGTGGTGTGTCTCTGGCTCAACTGATTAACACTGTAGTTGATCCACATATAAATTCCTGCAAGTAGCTAGCTACAGAAATTTTAACTGACAGTGAGCATCCACTTCATTTACAACTCTCTCCATATATCTCCTTTCAGGGAGGACAAAGAGAAACTACATAAGACTGTATGCTCGTATAGCTAAGTATAAGAATTCGACTGTACCTTACCTGGTATGCATATTTTGTGAGGAAAAAGGGGTGTTAGAACAGAAATCACACATCAACTTTGTAACAGTTAAAAATCTCATTTCAATAATTTAACTTACAATGTAGAATTTTCTCGTTTCTAATATTCTTCACATAAATTGAATTTTTATAATAAAACAATTCGAAAGGCTTCAAAGTAGTATGTATATACTTATATTTTGTTGTTATTGCTGGAATATATCATGCTGACAATTCCAAATTGTATCACAAATTATTTGGAATAAAGTGAATTATTTTTTAGTGTTATTGTTTGTATTACACCGTCGTTGATAGGACCGAATTGATCAGCCAATGCCCATCATTACTAAACATAGTTAAAAGACAGGCCATATCGAGGCATCCGCATAGGAGTCCATATGCCTACAGAGGCTGATCAATTCGGTCGTATCAACGATGGTGTAATACAAGCAATAACACTAAAACCTATACCCGTTGCACAAGAAGTGGCTATCGTGGCTCGGTGGTGTAGTGAATAACGCGCTGGCGTTTGGAGCGATCGCTCCCGAGTCCTGGTGGGAACAACATCACTCACTGGGAAGCAGGTACATCCAGGTGACGAGTCCGAAATAGGACGAAATGCTCATCCTAGATTCCACTGCCCATCATTACTGAAGTGAATTATTATTATTATCAATTACCAACGGGTACTCATTAGTAGCGACGTTACAATATAAATATCTTGTAGTTCTAATGAGAAACCATGACACATGTAAAGTCAAAGAGGGTGGAGTGTGAGTACAAATATTCATCGATAGCACTGGATTACGGTCGCACAGTATATCATAAATTGACAAAAGTTAGAAAATATGGACTATTTAGATTTCAACCTGGTAGTTGAATAACGACGTATTAACTACAAGACTTGATCGTCATAGGTGCGCACTGTGGTAATGTGTTCCATACTGACAAGAAAAAGATCTCCAAATGATGTCGATCCCTGAGTTGAATTACAGTTTATCAACCCTACCAATCACTAACTTATGGATCAATTTAAGAAAATAAATGGAAAATTATTCAAATCGAGAATATGGAGTATTCGCATTCAATGTTATCATTATGCATGTTATAATTAGTTCAACTAACAGCATTCATTGAGGATTACTCTGTAAAGATCTGGACTGTGATAAGATTTTCATTTCACCTTCAATCATCACCCAGTATCAATAATGCAAGTCTGCTAAACTACGGCTATTTAGTTAGTTAAACTGATAGTAAATTATTCTTAGGTTAATAGGGGTTTTAATGTTTGAGGTAGTATTCATCATGGACTAACATCAGTTGGGGATAACTTTTGAAAACGTGGGATCACTGAACTCCTCAGTAGTACGCATCCCCTACTTGGCTAAGGGTCGAACCCAGGGCCTTCAGGTTTCATGGCGAACGCATTGACTATTTCCCCCCCGTGGGTCGGAGTTCAGTGGTCCAGAGTTTCCTACTTCTGTCAATTGACGATATAGTGTGACCATCATCCAACGCCTTCAGTTGGTATCCGCTTCACTTCCGACTAATTGACTCCTTCAGGTCATAGATTCTCATCAGAACTCCGAGATATCCATCTCGAACGAGCAGTATGTAGTAATACATCACTCATTCCTTTCGTCCCCGTGACTCCGACAAGGTAGGCAGTCTACATCGCCCACACGACTCAGACTCACAGTCAAGGACTTCATCGACTAGTGCCAAGTTTTGGTCTAACCACCCTGAACCTTCTTTCAACCTCCCCTAGCATGGTACGTCGATGTAGGCAGTGGCTTGGCATACGCAGTACGTATCCAATCCATCTTAGTTGGTGAAAATTCACAGGCTCATCAATTGACTTCCCTGTCTTGCCTATTACCCTTTGCCTGACTTCAACATTGTTCACATAGGGATTCCACCAAATACAAACAATTCTACGAACACATCTATGATCAAAACCCCTTAGTCGCTTCATGTCTTCTACTTTGAATTTTGTAGTTCAGCTGGTAAAGCGCTGAACTTAAGGCCTCTAGTTTGGATCCGCCCGTGACCTGTGTTTTCATTTCATCTTCCTTTATCGTAAGATTACGAATAAAGCTACAGACTGAATGTAGTTATCCCTTTATTTTGGTCACGAATGTTTAATTATAAATTCAACTCAATCCACATGTATTGTGTTAGGGTTTACCATGCTACCTATTTATCTAAATCAAGGTAGGTAGGGTGGGACTCGAACTTAGGCGGCTATGTTTGAAAGTTGAATGGTTAAGCTTACGAATGACATCCCCATGTCTGACTACAGTCTCAAAACAGTGGGCGAGTATATCTTATCTTTCTTTCAAACTGAAGGTTAGCGTATAATCATGTCCTACCGATTAACATAACATATAGCTCTACCAGTAATGACTGTAAACACTTGTCTCTTTTCCATTTCCTAACTATATTAGAGTAATTTTTAATAATAGTTTTCTTTTTTTACTTCGAAACTTCATTCTTCTTTTGTTTTTTCATTAAAAAAAGGCTTTAGTTTATCGAATCATACCAGAAAATCCAGATGTAGAGTTATATCTACGACATAATGTTAGTCGTATAATCAGTATTGGTGTTGGGCCTGGACCAGATATAGCTGCTTATTTAGCATATGCACGTTGTCGAGGTTTTACACAACGTATTGTATATTATGCTATTGATCAATGTGCTGGTTGGGGTAATTATCTAGCCGCTTTTGATCGTCAATGGTCAACAGAATATCAAGTTTCAGTATGGTTTAAAAGTTATCGTTTCGGTAAACGTGAAGATGTTGAAACATTGCCTAATGCTGATATGATAGTGTTCAGTTTTGCTAATACAGCTTTAATGGCTAGTGCTATCTGGCCACTTTTACAACAACGTTATCGATTGATTGTAGTATTGGATGGAATTAAAGAAGTAAGTCATCCTCCGTGGAAGATTGTTTTTCAACAATGACATCAATTATAAGTAAGCGTATCTATCCCATATTCATATGTGTGAAAAAGTTTAGCGATTTTTTATAAAATTAAAAGTGAGGTATCTGTATCAAAACACCAAAGTGATATGTATCACTCTGTTGAAAGGTGATCTAGTTAGGTTATATTATTTTTCTAGAACTCCTCATTCCACCTGTCGTCGATAGATGTTAGTTGGTTGGAGGCAATTGACAAGAAGCCTTCGATCTAGGTTTTGTACCTGTAAGGCGTAAGAGCAACCTCGGTGGTACTGCTCTCCCGTCTGCGATTCGAACCCGCGTCACCGAGTGTTGTAGTCAGCGACGTTACCACTGAGCTATTCGGTTTGAAATTAGTCTCCTTTAGGACTGTTTTTATGTACATTGATTAGTCATGGGAGAGCGGCTAATTTCATGTTGTCTAGTCGTGAGTGCTACTGGAATTCTATCGTTCATGACAAATGCCAACAAACAGGGTTTCCTGCCGGTTACCTTTAACCAACTAACATTTATCAATGTGCAATCCAATGATGAGCCTCTTAGCTTGGTAAACAGATTGCAAATCAATAGAATTCGGTCAGCATTCATGACTAGAAAACATGAAATTGGTTGCTCTTCCACAAACAATCAGTATAAGAAACTGTCGTTCGTATGGGTGTTTGTTGACGATGGCACTATCTCCAGGTGATTACTTCGAGTAGTGTTGATCACAAGTGTCCATTCCTCGCTTTCATTCAAATTGGCCATAGATATACTGATAATGCTTAAAGCTTTTTCTCTCTAGATTACTTGGTGACAATATAGTCCTGAAACCAAAGCTGGAGAAAACGGCTGTCTTGTCAACATCCCCACCAATGATGGTAATGTTTAGGAGGGCATCACTAACATTCGGAATGTAAAAGGTTGCTCCAGGACTAGTCTATACCAGTAACCATGGTGGATGATAAGAAATAAAGTAACAAAGCTTATAGATTAGTTGACTTATTTTGATAGTCATATCCATGTGCTTACATCAGGTTGGTTTAGCAACTAACCGGAATACAAAACATTGATGGAGTTTTTTTTTTACATCCTAAGCCATCAGTTAATCAGGTTATGAGTACGAATGCCAAGTGTACAACGAAGCAGATAGGAATATCGCATTATGTGACTAAATTATAAGTATGTAAGGTGGTACACAAAGGATACACAAACTTCTGAGATAGCAGAGAAAATTTTTTAACTCATAATAAAGGTGATAATTTGTTTAGTATTCTCCAAGCCTTGAGGTGACGTTTCATCACCAGCCTAGACAGCCTTATCAGCAATTACTTAACATAAAAGTATTTAGAGTTGTTATTCATCGAAGACTGACATCAGTTGGAGGAACAAAGGAATCCTGGGAGCACTGGACAGCTGTTTCGTCCTAGCATGGGACTCCTCAGCAGTGCACACCCACGACCCCACCACCAGGGATCGAACCCGCGAACCTGCTGAGGAGTCCCATACTAGGACGAAACAGCTGTCCAGTGCTCCCAGGTTTCCTTTGTTCCTCCAGCTGATGTCAGTCTTCGATGAATAACAACTTGAAATATTTCCAAATCTCCACAACCCCCTCAAAATATAAAAGTATTTAATTATTAATTCTATCGATATATCGGTTACTTGTGCTGAAAATGACAAATGAACACTTTTGATATTATGTCCATCATCTATTCAAATCAACATTGGACCCAGGCATCACTGCATAGCACTCCGAGTTGCCGCCACACCTCATATCAGTACATCAAGCAACAAAGCAGTGAAGTGGAAGATAAAGAAAAGAAAATTCAGTCAAAGGAAATATAAAGTATTAAAAGAGAGAAAGAAAGAATGAGTAAATGGTGAGATTCGGTATAGCGTCGTTAAGATGAGGATAATGTGTGTGGCGATACATCTGCGTCACTGACATCGGTTCTCAGCCATGTGCAACTCATGTCTAACCCATCTTAGTTGAGGAAGGTTCACAGCCTCATTAATCGACTTGCCTAGTACCCTTTGCTTGATTGACCTCAACATTACTCATTGAGCGATTCCACCGAAGACCACCAATACTGTGAAGACATCTGTGATCAGAACCCTGTGACCGCTTTATGTCTTCTACTTTTGACGACTGTGTCACAGCCAGGAAACTGCACCGCATTATACTTGTCCTTTGGATAGATAGTAAGATCTCTCTCCAGTTGACGCCAGAGGTGACGCAAGTTGGGAAATGCCAAATGGGCCTTCTGTATCTGAGCTGAGATTTCGTCAGCAACCAGCCCGTTCGGGTTGTTGCAACTCCCCAACGTAAGCAAATGAAGTGGTCGATACATTCCAAAACTTCACTCCGTATTATTAAAATGGGAGTACTTGCAGCAGGTCAGTCCTGGAGCATCATCATATTATATTTGACAGGTGTCAGCGAAACGCATGCAAAACTCATTTATATTTTATACTTAAGGTGTTTAAAAGACCCTGCATTTTGTCAGCGTTTTCACCTTAGGAAGACAATAGTGTCCGCATACTCCAAGTCAGATGTACCTTAGGTTATGTCCATTAGTACGTGAATGAAGAAGTCACATAGGAACGGTGGTAGTGAATATCCCTCGTGGACATCACTAGTTATTTTCCATGCAGATGACAACTCTTCGTAAGCCCTTACACAGCTGCGTGAGTTGGAGTAGAGACGTTTGATAAGCACTACATACTTGCTGGGTACTCCCTTCATTGTCAGACATTGCCACAGCACGTCACGGTCGATAGAGTCAAATGCCATCTTCAGGTCAAGAAATATGGCAGTTTTCGGCTGCCAGTAGATATACCTACTTTTTAGAGCTTGTTGTAGGGTAAAAGTATGATCGACGCACCTTCATCCACTCCTGTCTGAAACCTGCTTGGTTTTCTCCAGCTTCAGTTAGGCGTCAGCTAACTATGGAGACTAAGATCTTGGACACAATATTAGTCAAACTTATTCCCCCATGATTGTCACAGAAAGCGACTTCTCTCCCTTCTTATCGATTGGAATGATTAGTAAAGTTGACCGTTGTTGCACTCTGCTTATCTCTCTCTCTCTCTTTTCACAGGTTGTAGTTGATAGTTTCCTTGATGCTGGATTCAAAGACTTTACGCTTACTGAACGGACAAACGTTTATTACCATTTTGCTGGTGGATCTGTTCAGAGTGAAAATGATAAGATTCAGTTGATGAATTAATTCTTCTTGAGAGATGACACTTTTACTACACCAACCGCACCCCCCTCCCCCCTGCCTATCATACAACCTTTTTTATACTTCATAAATATCCATTCTCTTCTTTTGTTTCCTAATGTTTATGTCAACCTTTTTATCATTCTAACTTTATTGTATTAAATTAATGAAAATTTTTTTATTTATATATTGATAAGTTTCTTCAAGAATTTTTAGAAATCTTTGGCGTTTACCATCTTGGAACAATTAAGGAAAGTTTGAACAGATCATTCATTGTTGTGAACATTTAGAAAAGTACCATATATGTATATATTCCACTAGGATAAGAGGGTGGCTTTATGACAAGAAAAATAAATCCCTCTGTTGTCAACACTTTAATATACTGTCATCGGTTCATTGCATTGCATTGCATTGTATATACATACTTGATGCTGCTTTTCATGAAATGTAAATCTAAAAGAACTGGCTCTTAATTTGACCTTTTTTATTGATTTGTAATTTCTTACGAAACGATTACAGATATTTTTGTAGGATCGTTTGGGTTCGGTTGGATCTCCGTGTGAGCGAAGAGTACTAGGCAAGTCGATTGATTGGATAGTGAACCTTAGTCAACTGAAGTGACTTGAACATGTACACCGCATATTGAACCACCGCCTACCTCAACGTGCTATACTAGAGGAAGTCAGATTAGGTCAGGATGACCAGATCAAGATGTGACATCAGTCCATGAAGTCTCTGACCCTAGCTTAGAGCTGTGTTGAGAGATGTAGGCATTCGGGCTGACGTCCCCAAGACAAAAGGAACTAATGGTTGGGGAGTCTTGGTGTCAATGAATGGAAATCGGTCAGAATGGCGCTGATGTATTTACTTCTTGACATCTTCTAAAGCTTCAGTATTTGCACCAACCGTTATCTTCAGATTATTTATTCTCTCATAAAACTTTGTCTACTTTCATGTCACTTTTCTTATCCACCTGTTCCTTGTTTATTACTGTGAAGTGTGGTAACTTGAGTAGGTGCCCTTGTGTATGATGTTGTTTACTGATTTGTCTGTCTAACGTCACCTCGTTGCTAGTTGTGTTAGATTTTGTATTTGACCTCATTTCTTCCAACAGAAAGAATATCTGAACAAGATGTTAACCGACGGACGTATTATGTCTTAGGTGTTTGTCGAAGTCGATCGACTAAGTTCCCAACCATACCAATTACTGTTATGTCAATGAAGTAATTCGGCACATATTACATTGGTTCGATTTTGTTTATTACTACCAGCAATGAGATGGTTTATTAGGTCATGATGAATACCAACTTGAAAAGTCTCTAAATCCCCACCAACCGCCAAATTAAATTGAACTAGTGTTCCAATGGTGACTAGCCTCAACAGGTGATCCCTGAAGTTCCAGTGAGGCAAACCTGATGGCCATGAGGACAAATACTCAACGATGATATCGTGTGGTGGTCACGCTATGTTGTGAACTGACAGAAGTTGGAAAAGTGGACCATTGGATTCTGACACGGGACCTGATGGTCTTGGGTTCGACCCCTGGGGTGGGGGTCGTGGGTGCGCACTGCTGAAGAGTTCCTTAATAGGACAAAACAGCTGTCAGGTACTCCCAGGTTTCCAGTGTTTCTCCAACTGATGTCAGTCCATGATGAATACCAACTTGAAAAATCTGTAAATCACCACGAACCCTCACATTCTATTAAGTAATTAACCGTTCTGTCGGTATTGTCTACTCTTTGTTATAGTATGAGAACTAGTGTGACCTTGAGAGAGAGTTTTGCCAAGATAATCACATTTTCTGTAGCCAGAGTTGCAATTGTGTCACCTAGTTACAGATGTCAAGACTTTATCAATATCAACATAGGACCAAACATTATTGCGTAACTCTTCATGTTAGTTCACTTCATATCAGCACATCAAGCAACAAGATGGAAGATAATGAAACAGAGGAAAGGCACTAAGGAGGAATGAGAAAATACTGTATTCGTATGACGATTAAGGTGAAGATATTGTGTGGATACATTTGCGCCACTGAGATCGATTCTGAACCATGTCACCTAGAGTCACTAACCCCTGGTTTCTGTTGTCATGTGAACTGCAACCTGGAAGTCTACAATTTTCTACACGGTCCAAACTAACAGTCAAAGACTTTGTTGACTGATGCCATTTTGCAGTCTGTCCACCTCAAGTCTTTTACCAGTTTAAACGTACCTTAGCTAACATTATGCGACGAAGTAGTCATTGACTACGGGTGCATAACACGTCCCAGTCACCTCCGTCGGTGAAGGTTCACAACTGCATCAACTAACTTTCGTCTTCTCCTTAAAACTGTACACCTGAGTTTCTGGAGATTCGATGATTAGTTATGACTGTCTTGCATTTGTATGTATAGCATTGGGTGATAAGTCAGAAAGTTCTCTGCTCGACTAGATCTCAGGTGACAGTCACCTATGTGATATTCGACTGAACAACACAGTAAAGACTGGTGAAACTCACTGTTGGTTGTCTGTAATCTCTACCTACGCACCCACCGACTGCAGTTCGAAGGAAGTGATGAATGAGTTCTACAGAAAAGTGTATTACCTCCTATTGAAAGCCTGGCGTTCAGACGTGGTAGTTGTTACAGGTGATTTCAATGCACAAATAGGCCGTAAGGCACTTTCGAAATCTTAGCCGAAAGAAAAGATAACAGCGATTTCATGCTACAGCTCTGGTCAGATAACCATTTATTTTTGGTCAGCATGAAATTAAAAAATAAAGAGAGACATTGTTTGATGTAGAGTCTACCGATTTGAACTCAGCGGTGGACAAGGTTGATGGAAGACTGGGGCATATGTTTAGACAACGATCATGCGTTGCTTTGAGCACCTGTATGTCTGAGTGAAGTTGGAAGAACCTTAGCAACAAGACTATTACGAGGGTTGCTCAACGACTGAGAGGACTAACGTTGCGTTCAGTGAGGTAGATACTGGCTAGACAGTTATCGATACAGAACAACACCACTGATTCAGAAGAAACCTGATGCTATCCCCAGTCTACTGTAAATACAGCGTCTATGACCGTTGCTGACTCCCCAAAAGTGTTAAGAAAGAGCTAGTAGATATCAGCAGCTTATGAATTAATGGATTCATTCATGCTCCGAGCGCAACGAGAAGTGGAAGCAACTCAAATGCAGACTAACAAATAGTCCTGGCAATGACCACAAGCAGTGGTGGGTGGTGAAAGCTGAAGAGATGAAAAGGCAGACAGTCATCTGGACTGAAACGAGGAACAGCAACGGCGCCAGACGAACTAGTTCCAGACGTAGTCAAGGGTGGTGTTAGTGGATTTTTGGCAAACTTAGTTGAAGTGTTAACTAGCATATGGAAGTCAAATATGGTCCTCTCTGAGTGATCGCAATCACTGATTGTGAAAGTATGGGTTGCCATTGTGTCCCAAGTTCGAATCCTGCCCCACCTTTGGCTTGCGCCACACAACAAGTGTGTTTCATAGACAAGTATATAAATGTGTACTACGTTGAGTTAGACTATATTTTTTGCGATAGTTACTGGCGTCAGAGGTGTGAGGAGCACCTTTATTTCTTTGGTAACAGCAAACTTTACAGGTGACCAATCACGTTAGAGATGGTAAAAAAGCGTATTACAAGCGGATCAGTTACATCAAGGTCACTAGTTTACATGTAACTGCACACAAAATTTTGGTTCATTCTGTTATATTTTCCGGAAAAACATTGCAGAATTCTTTCTGTTTTTGATATTTATGTGTAAGAAGTGAAAAAAAACTTAACGGCTAACGAATTATGCTTATGGATATTCTCCATGATGAACTAACCAAGAATGATGGATAACAGGTAGTAGTGGAATCCAGGATGTGTGTTTCGTCCCATTTGGGGCTCACCAACTGGATATATTTCCCTTCCAATGAATGATGTTGCCACTAAGACCCGAGAGTGTTATCCACTAGATCATCGCATCACGATAGCCGCTTCGTGTGCAACGGGTAGTTTTTATATTGTTATTTGTATTATCCCGCCGTTAATTGGATCGAATTGCTTGGTCACTATTAATACATACGCTGCAGAGCAGATGCCTCGATATTGCCTGTGTTTCAATTTTATGTGCAGTAAACTCGTCATATTTGTGAAGCCTGGATACTTCTTTACTCATGTACATCCATATCGTATTGTGAAGTAAAGTAGGATGATCAAAGCAATCTGGTACAAATATATTTTTATGTTGATGGTGAACGTTGCCGACATTTTACAGTAATTTACATCTTTTGCTTGGATTAACGTGAGTACTGTACACTGTGAGATAGTTGGATGAAATAAGCATACATACCTTGGTAATATTATTGACTGAAATGCAAAATAAGTTGACTGTAACCGTAAACTTGTTCAATAATGTCTCTTTTATGATTCATCGAAGGATGATGAGATCATCTGAAATAGTCTTGGTTTGGTAGACATGTCCTAATGTAATGTGTTATGATTTGGAAAATATTATTATGCTCTATGGCCGCTAACGATACACAGATATCGAGTGTCAGCTACCAAAGTTCAACAAATTCCTAGTTGATTCCCGACCTGACTTATTAATGGAGAAGACACGATGAACGTGTAGAAACGTGTATTGGGGTCGAAAAGACCAAAAACAACGGAAAATGCAGCTAAATATGTAGATAGTTCATTATTTAAGATAGTCCTATTAATTGGCTGATGCATTGTATGTTTTTCTAACTGTAGACATCATAGCATGCATTTTGATTGATCCGAACTAGGCTTTTCTCTCTATATCCATATCACTTCCCTCTTCGACAGAATGTTATTTGGGGTGAGGATGGATCACACTGTCTTTCTCTTTCATTTATGTGACCGACACAGAGGGAGTTTCTCCTTGTTTACTGGAGGGGATCAGTAGTCTTCATATTCTTTCGTTGGACAATTACATGAGCGTAAAAATCAGCTATCATGCCAAGAGATTTACCTACCGATCGAGAATGAAATCTGTGGCGAAATCTGGAGGATGATCGTTGTGTGTGTTGGCAGTAAAAAACCGTCCTTATGACCCCCAGCATTACATTCCCGGCACCGATGTTGTTTAGGTAGACACGATTTGACGAAATGCCAGCGAGGAGATGGGGATATCTTCTTCGAGGGTTGGTTGGTATCGCATGAGTTACTGGTCTAATGAACCGGCGAAATAAGGCCAGGATGTGTGTCCAGAGGATGATGTGGAGGAATGAGATGTCTGGCAAACTGTATGCACTTCAGAACCAGCCTGGAGTCCAGATTGGGCTAAACTCGTATCACGATGCAGGTTGCCCAGTCACTGATATTCTGCAGATGTGTCATTCAGTGTTTGGACTATGGAGTCAAAAGTTCAGTCTTGTGCGTTCTGTGGCGAAATCATGTCGCGGTTTGATCGACCTCAAGTGGACCAATATTTTGAAATAGGAGACATTATTATTATTTGTCCCTTGGATTCCTAGTGGAACATAGGGCTTCAGTAGCACGTTTCCATTTCACTCT